ACGCACAGAGATTTGAAACAATAACGAGGCTCATTGTCCAGGAGTGAACAGAAGATGCCAGGTAATCGTGTCCCATTCTTTCGAACGGGTCTCTTAAAGAATTTATGGAATTCGTTTCCTACTCTCCCTGTCCCGCGGGACCACTGCCGGTTTTTATTCAGCTGAATGGCCAGGCCAACGTACCTCTACCGTCCTGGTCTTTTCGTAAATTATACACTCGGTCATTACTAGCGGGCAAACAGCGACCATGTGCGTCTACCTTGGCACGTTTGATCGAGATTTAATCATGAACGATCAAAAACGCAACCATGTAATGTCTGACTTCATGAGAAATAAAATGTACGATAAATCCAGATGAGACTTCCAAAAATGCGTTGATACTCCGTTCTCGAAAGCGATAACTTTCCATTACGATCAGTTGAGCAATCGATAAAAGCAGTAATTATCGCATTAGCCGCTAATCGCCGATACACAAACATTTCGTTCGAAGTAATTCTCTGGCGAGATAAGGCACAGCTCATCGATCGAGGAAGTGGAAGATATTAAACGTTTCGAATACGGGAACGTTCCCGCGAGAGATAAAAGAGATAAACCTTGGGAAAACTCGTGGCACCGGACGGCCAACTTTATCTCGTCGGGCGTGTCCTTTTTGTTATGAATTGCCCGAGGATTACCTGTCGCTCCCTTACCAACCGCTTCCGGTATCGATTTCATAGCCCTTCCGATCAAACTCAAACACTCGAAAGACACCTTGCAGAATTACCTTCTGTCAAGGTTTCAGACCTGTTAACAGAAGCTTTTCTTAATATTCTTAATACAATATATCTAGGTTACATCTACCAATCGCAACCTAACATGCTTTGATGACATGAAGCTATCATAAAAGACCTTATGACGCATCAAATTGAAGCTTCAAGTTTGAAGAAAATAACGCTATAAACTCTCATCATAAATTTAATATTAAATGGCCAGCTGCCATTAATAATGACTGAGTCTGACATGCTTTGAAAGGAAGATATTAAGATATGGCATTTGTGACATGTTAGCTAAAAGCCTCTGACATTCACCATTCAGTTTAATACAACAATTTGAAATAAATAGTTTTGAACTAAGTCTGTAGTGTTGATTATGATAAACATAATGGAAGACCTCTTTAACAAAGACTTGTACTGTGTTTAACAGACTTAGTGTTGATTATGATAAATCTCTTTAACAAAGAATTGTACCCTTTTTAACAGACAACCTTTTCATCAAACTTGACTAAGAAGTTTCTATGAGTACAACTTGGACCCATCCACATGTACAAATGAAACTTGTATGAATCCCAAATGTACTCTGAGTGGAACTTGAGAGAATCCAAATGTACTATGAGTGGAACTTGAGTGAATCCAAATGTACTATGAGTGGAACTTGAGAGAATTCAAATCTACTCTGAGTGGAACTTGAGAGAATCCAAATGTACTATGAGTGGAACTTGAGTGAATCCAAATGTACTCTGAGTGGAACTTGAGTGAATCCAAATGTACTCTGAGTGGAACTTGAGTGAATCCAAATGTACTCTGAGTGGAACTTGAGTGAATCCAAATGTACTCTGAGTGGAACTTGAGTGAATCCAAATGTACTCTGAGTGGAACTTGAGTGAATCCAAATGTACTCTGAGTGGAACTTGAGTGAATCCAAATGTACTCTGAGTGGAACTTGAGTGAATCCAAATGTACTCTGAGTGGAACTTGAGTGAATCCAAATCTTCTCTGAGTGGAACTTGAGTGAATC